TAGTTAGAGCGAGGGCCAATGCAGCCCCTATTATATGGCCCTATGACAAGGCTGCATGCTCGGCCGGCTCCCGCCTCCGTGCCACCGCCGACCAGCCTTTAAAAAACACTGGTACCGTTCACCTCCGGTCGCAACAAAAAAACAGCAATAAGTCAAGCGGCGCATTGTTGTACCATCATGATTTATTCCTCGGCTGTTTTGCTGCGTGCGAGACATTCCGTCCATGTTCCGACAGACTGACACAGTGGGTTCATCTGGGGCTTTAACGCAGGCAGCACCGAGAGCAGGCAGAATAAATGCAGTATATCCACACGTGCACGCATGTGTGTGTGTGTGTGTGTGTGCGCGCACGTCTTTCACTCTCTCTCTGCTCTTTGAATTCCTACTTTCTCTCTGCTTGGCTGAGAGGCTGGACAGGCGGAGGTGGTGAAAAGCAGCTGGATGGTACTAACGATGTTACTAACAATACCTTCTCCCCGTACGTTCTCCATCTGTGGCGAGCTAGCGCTATAGAAATATTACCTGTCTATCCAGTGACTGCTAACGCTCACTTTAACAAACATTTTGACAAACTTTGACATTAATTATATATTTCTCCTCCTTTATGGTATTTGATCACAAGGCAGCGGTGTGGATAATGAGCTGCTCTGTCTTCGCTTAAGTGTGTATACACTTACACGGCTGGCAAGAACCGCGACAGCCATTTCGACACCAACCGAGGGGGTCAATCTACACAGGAGCAAAAAATAACGCATCACAGGAGCGGTAATAACACCGGGGCCCGCCGGTAATCCCAGTGGAGAAGTGGAAATACCTTTGTACCGCAGTGGCTGACATACATCACTACGGAACCCGAGCACTTCTCCCACGAGAAGATGGATGGATAGACACATGAGGGGGATGAAGAATTGCAGAGGATTAAAGGGTAAGAGAGGTAAAGGTCTGATGTGGAAGCTCTTAAAAATATCCTGTCGGCATATATTTGTCGGGGAAAAATACACAAGCCACAAGATTTGTCTGCGCGGAAAACTGTAAATCACAGGTAGAAATTACCCCCCCCCCCTGTGCTCTGTCGGAAAAGGGAAAAACACCTTCACCCTGGAGTCTGATAATTTACATGCTGTAACCCTGGTGTCACAGCACAGTGTGTCGCCGAGACCCTGTGAGGAGGTGCTGCTGGGCTAAAGAGTGGAGGGGAGACAGGTGAGAGTCTCTGAAGACTGCCTGGGTTTTACAGCTCACACTGATTACGCCTCCTGTGGGACACCCTGGTACCATTTCCTCCAGCACCCATCAGCACCTCGGGCCCCTGCGGCTGTTCAGTGTTCTGCAGCCTTGTAGACACAGAGGCAGGAGCGGCTACGCTGCAGATACAGATAGGACTGGGGATGACATCACTTCCCCTTTCTCCATCTCATCTGTCATAAACATTTGCCTCTGCCTCATCCCCTCTCAAAGATAACGGGGGAGGATGGAATGAGGAGCCGAGGGAGGGAAACTCTGAGGAGATCTTCTTCACACACACACACACATTCAAAACCACAGAGCAAGTGTCTCTGAATTATGTGAGTGATCTAAGAACATAACAATAAAGGATAATTTAAGGCTTTTTGCCGGTCGTTAATATGTTGCAGTTATGAGATAAGCCGTAAAACAAAATCAAGCTTTAGTGAGGATTTCTCAGCCTGTCAAAGCTCCATAAACACGGCTGCAGAATCTCTGAGCGAGGAGGCCAAAAAACTCTCTCGCTCTCTTGCCATGTCAGATAAATATTCTCATCTGAAACGTCTCAGAATGTGATATCCTGTTTGAATATTGATGAAGAGAATCCTGTTTAGTCAGGGGAATAGTCCTAACATTGAGCTATATACTTTTTTGACAGCGCAATTCGATATCTGAGTGTGACATGAAAACGAAAATCACAACCGTGACTCCGTGACTGTAAATCAGCAACATTTTCTTATCTGCAACTTTTTATGGGAGCAGACGAGACGAGACTTTCTGGAACTTGCAGACACAAAGTACTCGTACTTTACAAATGAAAACTTACTCTGACAAACATCTAAACCCACACCGCTATTACACCCAACGTCTCCCAAAGAAGTGGGATCTGATCTGATCTGATCTGAGCTGAGCTGCGTGTGTGTGTGTGTGTGTGTGTGTGTTTTCTCCCGGCGTCTCACAGGGCACAGCCGATCGCTGACTGTAGCCCAGAGAAGGAGTTGCAGGAGTTTTGACTCACAGTGCTGAGCTTGCTTGAGGTAATGATGATGCGCCGTTCGTGCAGCATGCTGGCGTAGAGCTGGAGCATGTTGTTGACGTCCACCGCCACAAAGTACTCTGTCAGGTTCCTCTGGTGATGGACAGGAACAGAAGGGAACATGAGAGGAGCAGAGGGAAGTGATGTGGTACAGGCGGTGAGCTGCGTGTGTGTGTAAAAAAAAAACCAAACAAACAAAAAAACCAAGCTGGACTCACACCTTAAAAGTTATCTCTTTAGAAAGATTTTATATTTGAGAAATAATTATAGCTGTAACGACTTAGAGGAGAGAGAAAAAACAGGGAGTTATTTTAATGGCCAACTAGAGGTGTGCTGTGGTACTGCACTCTGTCTGAGTTTTTTCTTTTACATTCATTTGTAACAAATGTTACTTGTTGTAAATATAAATTGTGACATAGAGAGACATCAATGTAGGAACAATGACACAACTGAACATCTGACCTCACTTTTGTATTTTGTTTTTAAACTTGTAGCCAACAAACAACATTTAAAATGATAAAAAGCGTTAAGAAGACAATTCAAGAAAGATAAAATGTTGCTGTAGGGATGTATTTAAAATAAGTCTATATTTAGTGTCGTGATCAAACTAAAGGCCACACAGCTGGGGCCCTCTGCTACATTTGCCAGAAAGTGAGTCGGAGCTCGGCGTTTGCCCAAATCGACAGCTAAAACTCCAGCGTACTTCAACTTTAAAATGGTAAAAATGTCAGATTAGCTGCTGTTTTTTATCTAATTTCCCCCTGGCATCGAGACACAGAAGACTGTGAGTTGATCTACAATTTGAATTTAGGTTGAACAAAGCACACATGTTCGGTTTGATTCTCCTAATACCCAAGGCAACCGCTGAACTTCGACATCCAAAGCACAAGCATCACGAAAGATCAAACCCAGACATGGGGGTGATGCAATGATTTCAAAAGGTGACAAGTGTATCTGATTAAAAACGATTAGAGGTAACAATGTTTCCAGTACTTCAACTTTAAAATGGTTTTTTTTTTTTTTTTAACTCCCATTTTCTTTTCTTTTGGATATACTCACACTCTCAGGGATGGTTGGCAGTCCATTGATATCCGGGGCAATGAAGTAGGAGTGCTGCGAAAAAGACAAAGATGCAGGAGAAAAGGAGAGGGAGGGTCCATGACTGAAGTCTACCACTCACAGAAGAGAATGAGAAGAAGACGCTCTGATCACTTTGTTCTATGATTTATGGCTCATCTTCAGCTCTGTCTATATGAATTGCTGAGCCCGTGTCTGAACTGTGGCAGTGCTTTTATCAGGTCTACAGAACAGAGGAGGCTCAATAGCTTCCCCTTTTTTTTTTTTTTTTTCTCTCCCCATGGACACACACTGGGGTGATGTCTCCGGTGGAAATCGCACACTCTTTATTTAAGAATTAAAAGGGCTCCGTGGTGAGCACCGAGACTCAGACTAAAAAGTGCACGTGCACGTGCATGTGTGCGCCGGTGCACGCACAGGTTGTTTAGAGGATCACAGTGCTGCCTGTCTCACTTTGGGAGAGCAGGGCAGCGTCAGCGCGAGGATCAAAGAGGCCTGGGAGAGGCGCTGTTTGCAGACAGGTAGACAAACCAACTGGAGACTAACCACCACTGTCTGTCTGGTTCTCTCTCTCTCTCTCTCTGACTACACTCAGGTTGACCATCAGTCCACTGCAGCCTGTACAGACACTGGAGGGGCTTTGGGTGAAGTACAATGTATTCATCAAGATATTCTTTAAAACAGGGCTGTAAAAACACAGAGTATCTGAAGATTGAAGTGATTAATGAAGCTCCAACGACAGTATATTACTGAGAAAACAGTAGAAACACATCAGTTTTTACCACATATGTCTAACATGTACAAGACAAAAGTTAACTAATGACACTCACATAAATATACATATATAAATACTGTACATATATATATACACATACTATACATATATGTACATATACATACATATTTACAGATATATATACATTTACATATATATACACATATATATGTATGTATATATGTATATATACATATATATGTATATATATTTATGTATATATATACATATATACATATATGTATA